AACACTATATAGGTGCATGATAGTATAGTATAAATAGCATTCCATATTCTCATGTTTTCACCTACACCTGCATTTTGAAAAGAACATAAAATTTTATCCTAAATCGTTAATTGTACATTTTCTCCTACTTGAAAAAGAGAGAGAAATGAAAAACATGTCTTGAAATAGAAACTCTGCAACCAAGTGGGCTTCCCAAGGAAATGAGTTGTTTGAGCTAAAGTGCATTCTTCTTTAGCAATTATGCGAATGCTCAAATAACATTACTTTGTCGTTTAGTCAGAAATGGAATTTTCAGAGTAAGAGGGAGTATCATAAGCTAATATTTGTACGTCTTTTGGGGGAGCTAAAGAGAATGAAAGATCTCCTTCTGGTTGATAACGGAATAATTTTCAAAAAGCGTCAAGGTAGAAAGAAATTGCACTTCAGATGACAGCAGTTTTTTTTTTGCTGATTTGCTTGATTTTATTTTGTTAAAATGTATGGTTGTACATGAAATTACACTTCAGATGACAGCATTTTTTTTATTAATTTGCTTAATTTTGTTTTGTTAAAATGTATCATTGTATATTGTCATAGCTTTATGTGTGATTTATTTATTATTTTGTATGCTTATTTGATTATTTGTTTTTGATAGTGGTTAAGTTTATTTTTCTTTTTAATAAAAAAGTATTGATAAGTCAGAGATTCTTGATCTTTTTTGTGCCATGGACCTCTTTGGCAGCAGTGTGTTAAAGCTTATATGGACCCCTTATCAAAATAATGCTTTTAAATGCATAAAATAAAAATACATAGAATTACAAAGGAAACCAATTATATTGACATAGCTATTAAAATATTAAAAACCCAAGCTCACACAACCCTAAGTTAAGAAACCTCTGTGATAGATGATTTACTTGAGGTAAATTCAGATTGACCTCTAAATGATATGGATAACTGACACCAGAGGAGAGTAAAATTCAAGTTACTTGAAAATGAATCTTTTTAGTAGTCAGAAATAAAATCACATGGTAGTCATGGAGATAAAAATTTTCAACCAAATAGGCCATTCAGGCAACTCCATATCCTTCTAATTATATTAGAACTTCTAGTCCATTTTTCTCCATCTTTTCTACAAGAATAATATGAGATAGTTTATTGCCCTCTGTACCACTCCTTGGAGACCAAGTTTCGTTATTCACCTGCCACCCACTGTTACCTCAGGCTAGTCTCTTACTTCAGTTACTGTCTATAGAAGAGAAAAGAATTCACAGCTTCCTACCCCACTTCTTCTCTGATCTTGATCTTCAAGCTCTGCCTTACACCATCCATGTCTTCATGCCAAGTCTGCCTACTTCTTTCACTGTGCCCTCTGAAATTTGTGATTGGTAATAAACAAACCACTTGATACTAGACCTCTTGCTCTTACAATCCTCTTTTTTTGACCTAGCTCCCTTCTGATGACATTGCATCCCCACTGTCTAGAAGGTACAAGCTGTTCCTTCTCTTGGATGCCCTGCTGCACATTGCAAGCATTCACTCCTTTCTCCTCACTGCCACTTTCAGACTTTCTCCCTTTACCTCCATTGCTCAACAGCTTCTCAACTTTTTTTTTTTTTTTGCTTAGGCAATTGGGGTTAAGTGACTTGCCCAGGGTCACACAGCTAGTAAGTGTTAAGTGTCTGAGGCTGGATTCTAGATTTGAACTCAGGTCCTCCGGACTCCAAGGCCAGAGCTCTATTCACTGTGCCACCTAGCTGCCCCTAGCTTCTCTACTTTTAAAATACACTCAGTTACATATTTCTGCCTGATACAAATCATGGTGGCAGTTGCATACTAATCAAAGGTCATTTTTCCTCCTTTATCAGGGAGTTGGCACCTTGCTATCCTCTCCAAACCCTGCTCTAGTTTCACAACTGTGTGAGAAGTTGAGGCCTTCACTGAAGCACACCTTGGCCTCAGTCTATCTTTCTAGCCTCATTGGATCCCCTCCTGGATTGATTCTTTTGAGTAGGCCAACTAGGCCATCTTTTGCTTCAGTTATTACCTAGCCTTAAATCACTGAAAGGGTGTTGCATCAGACAAACTGAGACCTGGGAAAGACCTTAGCTTAAAAAGGCCAAGGTCTCCCACTGCATCTGGGGACATCTGCAGTCGTCCTGACCTGTGTCTTGCCACTGGACTCAGATAACTTTGGAGGAGAAAGTGAGGCTGATGACTTTGCACAGCCCTGCCTCACTTAAATCCAATTCACTTGCAAGTCAAGATATCACCCTCCCGATGTTATTGGCCCTCTTCCAGAATGAAGGACAAACAATAATAACAACAACAAAGAACTAGCTTGGGCTGGGGGGCAACTCTCCTGTTCATCTCTCCCTTGTTAAAGTCAGGGTGATCTAGGCTCCCAAGGAAAAACCAAATGTAGGTGGGGAAATCATGATTCGGGTGGTTTTGGGTTTTTTAGCCAAGATTGCCAGAGGCAGCTGGAATTAAGGAATTAACATTCCATAATTGCCTGAGAGGGACACAATTATCCATACCTGAAGGCCAACCTCCCTTTCCTAGCTGTAGCCAATTGTGACATTCCCAGTCACCCAGACCTCCTTTTCTGTATCCCAATAAACGGGTGCTTTCTACTCCCTTCGGGGTCCCTGGCCTTTTGGCTGAGGTGGCTAATGTTACTCACTTTATTAACACTTCATGAGTCACTGTTAATACACTGTTATCTTACCCTGGAGAAAACTGTGTCTCAGTCTGCTTTTGTTGCAGTTTTACTTGACACAATGGCCAGAAGGTCAGAGGTTAAAAGGGCTCCCTTTTCAGGTTCTCCTTCCTTCACATTGCCCTTCCCCGACTTTAAACCATGAAATCATTCCAATCTAGTCTTGCCAAATCACCCTAAATATTGAAGGTCAGGCCTAACTCAGATTGGTCTGTTGGTTCAGGTTCAATCCTGGAATAAAATGAGTCACTTAACAACTACCAAAAGGAGGTTTGTGTAGCAATGGCATGGAAGCTAGTCAGAAGCTATGTCAAGCCTCAGAAGAGGTCCTGGCTCCTGGTACATTGTCTTCTGTACTTCGGCAACCTGGAAGCTATGTCAGTAGGTAAGACTTGGTTCCCTGAACCAGTTAAGTTCTGAGGATGACTTCATTACCTTTTAATGGAAAACTAGCTTGGCCTTCATTGGGTAGATATGCTCCCATGTTGCATTGCTAGCCACAAAATATTAAAGAATCATGAGGCAAGTCTACAGCATGCTCAGTGTATTTTCATAAATTTATGAAAAATAATGGACAAAATTTGGAGTGTTTCCAGTTCATACTAATGGAAGGAGTAGCCATAATAGTGATTTCATTGAGCCATTGGAATATTTAATGAATACCTAACTTCATTGTTTGAGATACTTTGCTATGTGTTGTGGGAGATATAGAAAAAGAGAGGGGTATAAATATGGGATAGTACCTCAAGAAGCTTACATTCTAATGGGGGAAGACAACATAAATTGGAACTGAAAAGGAGGTGGGTGGAAGAGGGTAAGCAGGGTGACTGGAAAGGCAAGAGATATCTAGAGTAAGTTGAGCTGTGAGTGAAGTGAGCATGTCTGAAAGCCCCTTCTAAAATGATGGTTTGCAGGGGCAGCTAGTTGGCCCAGTGGATAGAGCACTGGCCCTGGATTCAGGAGGACCTGAGTTCAAATCCGGCCTCAGACACATAACACTAACTTAGCTTTGTGACCCAGGGCAAGTCACTTAACCCTATTGCCTAGCCAAAAAAAAATAAAATAAAATGATGGTTTGAGTGGAAGTATTTTGTTGTTATTGAGTTATTTCAGTCATGTCTGACTCTTAATGACCCCTTTTTGGGGTTTTCTTGGGAAAGATACTGGACTGTTTCTTTTTCCAGTTCATTTTACAGATGAGGAAACTGAGGCAAACAGGGTTTGTCATTTGACTTACCCAGGGTCACACAGCTAGTAAGTGTCTGAGGCTAAATTTGAACTCATGAAGATGAGTCTTCCTGATTCTAAGCCCAATGCTCTATCCACTGTGCCACCTAACTGCCTTTGTGGAAGTATTTACCAGAAGGAAATCTGGAAATGTAGGTTGGTACCTATATGGGGGGTGTCAAGTCCTGAAATAAGTCAAAGTCATGAGTTGAAGAATAAAGCATCTTTAACTGAGATAACAGAATAGCAAACCTGCCACCCTGGGGGATGTCCAAATGGATTTTCCCAACCAAAAAGACCCATGAAAAAGTTTTTTATAGTTTAAGGAGGAGAGGGGGAGGAGGCAATATGAGGTAACAAGTCCTGATCATGAGACTCCAGTGGTCCTTGGCAGTCCGGGCAAGAAAAGCCACTTCATTCTGGCTGTTTTGCCCTTCATGTCATGAATCCCAGTGGAAGGGGGAAAGAATACTAGGAGCTGAGATCCAGCTTGAGCTGGGCTCCCCACAAGGCAAAGTCTCCCAGTGGAGGGACCCAGGATATGGTGATTACTTGTGTTAATACTATATTCCACTAGTAAAACTTAAGCTAACCATGGACAAGGACTGAAAGTTTTTTTCTTTGTTTCACTGAAGTAAGAAGAGATGAATAATAAATGTTTGATGAAGTTGAATTTTAAAAGTTCTTCTGTTAATTCAATTAATTTTTAACTAAATAGTTAAAAGAATTTGTGGGCTATTGAAGTAATATTTTAGTATTATCAGACAGGTATTTAAAACTTTTCACCACTATAATTCACTCTTGTAATATCTTTTTTTTTTTGGCTAGGCAATGGGGTTAAGTGACTTGCCCAGGGTCACACAGCTAGTAAGTGTCAAGTGTCTGATCTGAGACCGGATTTGAACTCAGGTCCTCCTGACTCCATGGCCGGTGCTCTATCCGCTGTGCCACCTAGCTGCCCCCTGCAAATATTCTTAATGTTGTATCTGAGGCAAATGACCACTTAGATGTTCTCATTACTTGCTTAAACTCTTGGTGTTTCCAGGATGACTTTTTGGTTTGTTTTTGGCTCTAGTGCAGTTAATATGAGAACTGATATGCTGGAACTGGACTGCCATATGACAAAAGATGAACAAGTGGTTGTATCCCACGATGGGAATCTGAAGAGATCAACTGGAATAAATGTGAACATCTCTGACCTGAAGTACTGTGTAAGTAAAAATACATTTAGAGCATATGCTTTGGGATGGCATGCTTTGAGCATTAGTGAAGTCCATTAAGCAATGAATGGGGAAAAAATGAGGAAAAATCATCTGGAACTTAAGGACTTTATCCAAAAGGAACTTATACATTTAATTTCTTGCCAAACAATGCTAATAGTTGTTTCCTGAACTTAATAGACCATTACCAGCATCTTTGTGTTTATACTGTCGTCTGTCACTTGCTGAAAGTGCCTTCTTTCCTCACCTTTGTATTTCAGAATCTCTGTCTTCCTTCAGGACTCAGCTTCGGTGTACTTCCTCATCAAAGGCTTTCCTGATTCCCCCCTGAAAGGCTGACTGTCTATATCCTCCCTATCTCTCCACATCTGGCTAAATGTCTTGAATATAACACTTAATAAATTTAACCAACATTTAACAAGTGCCTGTTATTACTAAGAAATCCTACTAAGCACCCGAGATGCAAATTAGAGGTGGTCTCGTAGCCTCAGGGAACATATTTTGGGGTAAGGGGTTGAGATGGTGATAGATGATTAACATAAATTAGAAGGTGATTAAGTGGTTTGGCACCCATCAGACTGAGTGACTGAAGGAATTTAAGAAGGGAGGAAACCCCCTACTAGCAGAGGGGAATTAGGGTAGATTTCTGGGAAGAAGAGGTAGCACCTGAGCCAGGGTGAAAAGGTTGGAGAGGGATTATGTTAACACACACACATAGAGGAAGGTGAGAAAATCAGGAGATAGCATGTAGGGTTAAGTTAAACTGAAACACAGAACATGAAATAAAACTGGAAAGGTAAGTTAGAGTCAGGTTGCTTCATGGCTAGGCTGAGGAATTTACATTTTAGTCATTAAAGAATGGAGAACTTCAGAAAATGTTTGAGAAGGAAAGGGACATGCTCAGAACTGTGCTTTAGCAAGATATATTTCAGTATGAAGGGGAAAGATGGATTGGAGAAGGGACTGGAGGAAGGAAAACAGGAGAGTACTACATTTGCCCAAGTAGTTAAGTTGAGAAGGGGTAAGGGTCTAGATGAGGATCTAAGGGTATTGTGAGTGGAGAGGAGGGGGTTGATGTTAGAGCTATTGTGAAATTAGAATTGACATGATTTAGCATATGATTGGGGTGAAGGGGAGTGAAGAGAAGGAAGAAACAAGGATGATTCTGAAGTTTTGAATTTACGTGACCAAGGTAACCCCCGGTATGATTGTAGAGGAAGAGTGGTTTCGTCCTGGGAATGTGCTGCTTGCCTGAGTTACTCTCTCTTCTCCCTTTTCCCCCCATTTTGCAGTAGATGGAATAACAAAACCTGACTCAATTACCTCCTTCCTACTTAGGCTGAATACATCAAGCCTTGCTGTAACAAACACTCTTTATCTGTTCTCAACCACACAAATGTTGTCCCAGATGTTTGACTTAACACAAAACTAGGGACTTTCCAGACTAACTTTCCCATAGGGACAGGCTGTATCAGTCCATTCAAATGCCATAGAATGATACTGATTGGTAGCATCTTCTGAAAAAGCCAAGCTGAAACCCTAGGAAGCTGATATTGCTGCCCCTAAGCTGTCTTCCCTTAGCAGGCTAATTAACTTATTTTCTTCTCAGTTTGGCTGCTCTCTTTAGTTGACCTCCTGCCTTACAGACCTGCTGATAGATGAATTCTCCCTAGGCTCTCAAGGAACCCAGACTGAGAAATTCCCTAACACCCTCAGAAATAGGGAAATTATGAAGATGGCAAGTTTCATGGGGAAGTTTTATTTTAAATATAATGAGAGCTGGTGGAATATCCTAGTATGGATCTCTAGCAGATCATTGAAAATCCTGGTAATAGGCTCAGAGGAGAGTTTGAGGCTAAAGGTATAGATGTAGGAATTATTTGCATGGAGATAATATTTGAAGCTCTTGTAGTGGGTAGCTGAGGGAGAAAGTGTGGAGTGAAAAGAGAAGATGAAGGAGATAGTCTTAGGGGAGGCATGTCCCCCACACTTAGGGTGTAAGAAGAGGAACAGTGGGAATGATCAGAGAGGTAGTGAGAAGTAGGAAAGAGGTGTATCACAAAGGCCAAGAGAAGAGAGTATCATGAAAGAAGAGTTGGTAAATAATGTGAAGTGACAAAACGGTTAAGGAATGTAAGAACTGAGAAGAGGTCGTTGGGTTTGATAATTCAGAGTTCATTGGAAACCTTGTAGAGAGAGTAGTTTTAGTATAGAGGGGTAGAGAGGGAAGCTAGGTTTTTGGGGATTCAGAAGTGAGTTAGGAAATGTAGATAGTGAACGTAGATCAGGCTTTTTAAAAGTTTGGCGGGGAAGGAGGAAATGAAAGAGCAGAAAATACCTTGAAAAGGGACAGTTGGGTCAATTTGTTGTTTACTAGACAATGTAGACTTTAGCATGTTTGTAGGTTAAGAAAGAGCTAGAGAAGGCAGTAGAGCATAGGATGGATGGTTAACTTTAGTAAGGAGGCAGGCCACTTCATCCTCAGGCTAGAGAGGAGGAGAGAATGGGAAGAGGCAAGTGTGGTAGGGGGAAGGTGAAGAAACTCATTATTAGAGGAACTCTTCAGTCTTCTTGGTGAAATAGAACCCATTGTCATTTGAAAAGGATCTTGAGAGAAAAGGTTTGGAAACCACAGCTGTGAGTGATGTAATAGGAAGAGGAAGACAGAAGATTTTCATGTGGTAGTGAAGCCACCCCTTAAGGTCTGAAAGCTTAAATGTAGCATGTAGTGTACTCAGCACAGTTTCACGCCTTTCTCTGGCATCTCTCTAGTGCTCTGGAGTAGTAGAGAAGGAAGAGAGGTATATGGTAGGTTTTATTTACAGTGTTAGTCATGACAAAGGATCCCAAAATCTGAAATAGTTTTAGAAAGAAATTTATTTGGTCATTTGGTAGAGGTAGAGGAGGAAAGCTAGAAGGCTCCCTTCTCAGTGTCTGCAGATCTTGCTTTACATTGGGTTTCAGAAGGAAATACCAGCACTTGAACCCCACTGTTAACTTAAGAGCCTTAGTGACTATTTTGTAGAGAGGGCTGTTCCCTGGCAAGGTCCATTATTAATTAATGGTCAGTTCAGATGTAAGCATGAACCTTTAAATTCGGGAAACCCCAAACCCAAGCTTCCAGTGGACTAAATACCTTGGGTGGAAATTCAAGCATTCCCTGCAGCCTTCCCAGCTTCCCTGGTTGCATATCTGTGGTCAGCCAATTTTTAGCCACAACAAGCTAGGTTCAAACAATATTAATAAATAAGGTTTTCCAAACAAATATAATAAAATATTGCCCTAGGTTAGTGTGGTAGGAACAATGAAAGGTTAATGGGGCAGAGAATGAGAGATGAGGAGAATGTCATTGAAATGACTGACCCTGGGGGCAGAGAGGGAGTGGACTGGGGAAAGAGCACCGAATTTGGAGTGTTTATTACCTGAGTGACTTTGGCCAAGTCATTTAACCTTTCTGGGCCTTGGTTGCCTCCCAGGGGCATTAGACTAGATGACCTCTGGGATTCCTTTAACTCTAAATTTCAGATTTCAAGATCATGAAAGGAGAAAATTAAGCCAGAGATGGACTAGAACACAGAGATTGATGGTTTCAATGACTTTGAAGAGCTGTTCAGGACAGCTGGAAGATGGAAGACAAGTGCTTTTGATAAATAATTTCTAGTGATGGCAAGGTCAGGGGTTGGCACTAATTCAGTGAGTGATAGAAGTAAAGAGGCAAATGGAAATTGAGGTTTAGGAACTGAAAGTTCAGATTGTAATGAAGATAGTTAAATCACTAAGAACCATGATGGAATAGGAATGAAAATGTGTCTGCAAGCTAGGTGATAAAGTCACAGAGGAGTGAATGTAGGAGAATGTCATAGAGGCTGGTATATGTTAGAATTAAGAATATAAAAATGGTTGATTTAATCTGACCCTTGTGAACTACACAGGTTGGGAAAGTTCTTGAATGATCATGATCATGATATGTAAATAGCAGTGGGAAATAATATGTAACTGACACCTTCTTGATGTCCTCTAGGTTCAGTGAACAAATGTGGATTTCTTTAAAAAAAAAAACTAATCTAATGATAATTACCATGTTCTGTAGAACAAAATTTGTATAAATAAAATGTTTTTTAAAATAATTTAATGAAAATTACTGTGTTCTCTAAAATAAAATTTATAACTTCTTTATCTAATTGTTTGGAATATCCTGTAGTAGGCATAAATCAGATGAAATTTCCTATTAATTTTAGTTCTTAGCTGTAAAAAAAAAAGACTAACTTTTAATAGTACTATCAAATCTTAAAATAAATCAAAGCCTTGAGTTGAGGAATAAGCTTTTTTAATTGAGATAACAGAGTAGCAAACCTACCGCCCTGGGGGATATCCAATCGATTTTCCCAAACAAAAAGACCCATGAAAAAGTTTTTTTAGTTTTAGGAGAAGGGGAGGAGATAAGTGAGGTAGATATTGAGGTTACAGTTGAGAGAGCTGGTTCAGGTGTGAAAGAATTCACTTAGACCTTCTCTGTAGCCATTGGTGATGAGTTCAGGGTGGATCCCAAGAATGTTGGGGTGGTACCTGAAATGATGAGGAATAGACGTGCGGATCCTAATGTCCTGAAAGAATTCACTCAAACAGTCTCCAAGTTAAAGAAAGGCATTTATTGGGGTGATAATACCCAAGTAGGCCTGCTCCCTATGAGGCAGAGCCCCAGTGGGTTCAACTCCCTGTGGGAGGTAGAGCATAGGCCATAGGCCCTGCTCCCCTAAGGGAACAGAGTGGCCCCTGCTTCCTGTAGGAGGCAAAGGGAGTTAGCCAGGTCAAAGATATGGTTTAAATACAATTTTATAGAATAGGGGGAAGGGGAAAAGAGAATGGGAGGAGAAAGCATGGCCCCAGAATGCCTGGGATGTCAGATGGTTGGGAGGCAATAAGCAAAGAGAACAGGAAAGGGGAGGGGAAGAGTTCTGAAATTTTAGATGCTTTGTGAAAGCACACAGATAAGTCTATGGTGGGCGCTTCAATGCATAGTCTTCTTTGATCACTTTTCTGGCTGCTCACATCCTACATCCTATCTCCTATCTCACGTGCTGCTTGCTCCTTCTGCCTCAAGTACTCTTTTCTACCTCATCAGTAACAAGGTCTGGTTATGAGACCCCAGTGGCCCTTGGCAATCTGGGCAAGGAAAGCCACTTCATTCTGGCTGTTTTGTACTTCATGCCGTGAATCCCAATGGAAGGGGGCAAGGACGCTAGAAGCTGAGATTTAGGTTGAGCTGGATCACACCCTACATTGGTTTTCTGCCCCCCACCCATGCAGTTTGCCTTGTGGGGAGCCCAGCTCAACCTAATCCAGAGTAATATCTTCAGTGTAAGAGGAATGTAAGGACATTACTGAAATTCTAACATTACAGGGATCATTTAAATGAGTGGCAAGTAATATTACATTTGGTATTAACAATTTATGTACTTGTATTAACAATTTTCCATCAGTACTATAGGTTGTTTCCTTTGGCATTTTCATTAGTAGACAGAAGTAATCTTTAGGGAAATTTTGCTTAGAAGTGCTATGGATAAATAAATATTGTTTATTATTAAAGATTTGTTTTATTTTTCCTAAATTGCATCTTATTTGAAGAAACCAGACCAGTTGTTTCTTTTTCCTAAAGCTGACATTCTCTTTATCTTTTAAAGGAACTCCCACCTTACCTTGGCAAATTGGATATAACATTTCAAAAAGGTAATATCATCTTAAACACTTGTGTCATTAGTGTGTTCTTTTGTATCTAGAAACGGAAACAAATATTTGCTCAGTAATGCTTCTCGTAATGTAGATAAGTTGTCAATGACTTTGGATGGAGCCTCATGCGTTGGCTGAGTTATTGGACCAGGATCTCTTGTTTCTGCAGAGTGAAACTTTCAGTTCACCTAGAAGTAATTCAGCCCAGAGAACTGACTCATTCTTATCCCCGTTTGCCTAGGGATTATTGTACCCACTTGCCAAATTTGTTAACTTATAGGGAGAAGCTTAATTGTCAAGTAAATTGAATTTCATGTTGGCCATTCAATACATTCTCTTCCTAGTAGGGACACTTTGGGAGACTAAACTGAGATTGGAAGACTGCTTGGTGAAAAAAAAATCCATCAACAATCACATATACATTAAACATATGCTAGGCACTTGTGTGAGTCCTGAGGATACAGGAATGAAACAATCTCTACCCATAAGGATCTTAGATTCTAGTGGGAGAGACTATGAGTACATAAAAAAAATATACAGAATAAATAAGTTTATATACAAAATGATTAAATATAAGGTAGTTTGGAAGGGAGGGCACTAGCACTTAGAGAAATCAAGAAAGGCTTCATGTTGATTCCTGAGCTGTATCTTTCCCCCATCCTCCCAATAAAAATGTGTGTTTATTTTTAAAGTGAATGATATTAGCAGATACCAAGTTCTAGTATTCCTGAGAACAGAGAAAAATGATTGAAAAACTGTAATAGAAAAATACTTCATAACATTTCAGATTTAATTATTTTAATGAATGTAGTCACAGAAGAAATACTGAATAACAGCAATCTATTCTTTATTTTGTGTGTGTGTTCACTTGCATATTAACAGGACACCACCTGTATTCTGTAATGTAAACTCCTTAAAGATAAGAATTTACTAAAACGTGAATAAAGTTTGTGTCATCTCCAGGACTTAAAACTGTGTTTGCCATCATGAAATGTTTTCTGGTTCCCAGACAGAAATGAGCCCCTCCTCCTTTGAAATCTGATATTACATTATGTTTCTTTTATATACTCTGTATTGTATTCATTTGAGTATATGTCTTATCCTTGCTCCCCTACTAGATTATAAATTCTGTGAGGAAATGGATATTGGATTATACATCTATAGATATCCCACAAGTCCTGATAGTAGTACATATGGGAGCACCTTTGAGGGCATTGTAAAGTACAAGTTTCAAAATCATAATCCCCAAAATGCCCTACCCTATATAAGCATAGGCAGTCCTACTTGATTTCATTCATATGAGAAGCAGGTCAGAACATAGCAAGTAGTTGCCATGCAAAAACCAGAAGGAAGGGCTTATGTTTCCATGAGGGTAGTGTACACTTTCCCTCCCAGTCAGGGATCCTTTACAGAGACCCAGTGTCCACCAATGTTATTCTCTCATAGCTCATCTCCCAGTAGTTAGTGTCTGCCTTAGCTAAAGGCCTGTGTGCCCAAGACAGCCAAAGCACAAAGTCTTTGAGCCCGGCAAGGCACATTGTCCATGGGTGGCACTCTGAAGATCCTCTGACACAATGAGATAAGGATGAGCATTTTCAGGTTCCAAAGTTATAGCCACTTTTTACATTTCTCTTTATTCCTGTGTTTATTTTTCAAAATTTATAATCAGCTCTGGTCTTTCATCACGAATGCTTGGAAGCCCTCTGTTTCATTAAAGGTCCATTTTCCCCTTGTAGTTTTTGCTGAGTAGGTTATTCTTGGTTGTAAGCCTTCATCTTTTACCTTTTGGAATACATGTTCTTTGCTCCTTAATCTTGTATGATCCTGACTATGATTCCTCAGTACTTAAATTCTTTCTTTATGGTTGCTTGCAGTATTTTTTTCTTTCACCTAATAGTTCTAGATTTTGGCTATGTTGTCCCTAGGGGTTATCATTTTGAGGTTTCTTTCAGGAGTAGAGAAGTGGATTTTTTTCTATTTTCTCTTTGCTCTTTGTTTCTAAGAGACCTAGGTTCTAAGTAGCCCTCTCATCTATGTCTTTTCACCTCATCAGACTATTGGATGCTTTACTGAAATCAAGGTAAATTATGTTTGCAGCATTCTTCTGACCTACCAGCCTAGCAACCCTGTCAAAATAGGAAATGAGATTGGTCTGACTTGAATACTTTTAAATGAAGCTGTGCTGGCTTACCTTATTTTTTTCATAATTTCTTAAATTATGATTGATATTCAGGCTCTTTTTTTGGTCATGGTTTTCAGGTAATTCTAAAATTAGATTCTAAAATTATCTCTCGATCTGTTTTGCTGGTTAGTTGTTATTGATATGTGTTGCCTTATTTTCTCCTTTTTTTTTAATCTTTTGACTTTGTTTTAATACTTCTTTGCCTCAAGGGATGATTAATTGCTATTTGGTGAATAAGGTTTTGTACTTCTTATGTCAAGCTGTTAATTCTCTTTCCAAGGTTCTCCTCCATACCTCTAGTTTCTTTCCTTTATCACTCGTTTCATTTTTCAACTCTTTTTGAAAAACATTTTTTCTAGGAATTTTATTTGATCTTGAGGGCAAACCATGTTTTTCTTTTAGGTTTTGCTTGTAAATGTTTTGGAATTATTTTCCTCTTCTGGGTTTATGTCTTGGGCATCCTTGAGCCTTGTAATAGTTCTTTCTTTTTTATATAGGCTTTCATCTAGCCCATCTGGTCTGGTCAACCTGGAGTTGCTAGCTTAGCTGGGAACTCGGAGCTTAAGTTTGTCATCTCAGCCCCTCTGGGGGGACCCCCCCCCACACACACACTATGCTGCTTTCCTGGTTGAGGGAGTGAGCAAGATCTGCTCTGGGAGACTTCAATGTAGGTACTCTAGGTGCTGAGTCTACTCCGAGTCTTTCTCCAAATTCTAGACTGCTGTCCCATGCTGGGGCAGAGTCAAAAATCATTTCTGACATCTCTGAGCTGTATGTAGGCTTAGCTTAGAGCTCTAGTTACCGAGTTTAGGATTTTGGCACCTCTGGGAAGACCCTTAGCTATTGGCCTGGGCCTGGGGTTCAGTCTATGATCTGCTCTGGGTGTTCCTGAGCTGCTGGCCTAGCTCAAAGCCCTAGGTACTGTCTGTGATCTTGGCCCACCCTTGTTCCTTAGTACCTGCCTTTCTGTGAGGAAATGGATATTGGATTATACATCTATAGATATCCCACAAGTCCTGATAGTAGTACATATGGTCGCTGGCCTGTAGGTTAAATCTGCGTCTGATTTATTGTTTTTTGATTGTCTAGACTTAAGAAAGTGGAGAAAATGTGAATAAAGCAAATTAAATTTAAAAGTGTGCTCATTTTCTGTTTTCCCGGAGATCAGTTAAACTTTTATCAGCACATACCCCCTGCAAGTCCCACCTTAGGCAAGTCCCCTAACCTGTTGTCCTGGTTGCTAGTTTTTCCTTCAGATTTAAGATTTTTCCTATTTAAAATGCAGCAGGCACTCATAAATATCCAATTAAAATTAATATTTCAAGTTTTAAAACTTCATAATAGAATTCTAGAATAAGAAGATATAAAACACAATTTCCCTCTAAGAGGTCAGAAATAGGAAACTTGAATACAATCTAAGAAGTCTCCAAAGGCCTAGTGATTTAAAATGCTATCCACATCCAAAGAAAGAACTATGGAGTTTGAATGCAGATCGAGGCATACTATTTGCATTTTTTTTTTCTTTCTTCTGTTGAGTTTTGTTTCCTCTTTCTGGTGGTTCCTCCTATTCTAATTCTTACTTACAACATCACTAATGTGAAAATATGTTTAATAGGAATGTATATGTATAGCCTATATCAGATTGTGCCCTGTCTTGGGGAGGATGGGGGAGAAAAATTTTAAACTCGAAAGCATATGGAAGTAATTGTTGATAAGTCAAAATAAATTAATTAAAAAAAAAAAGAAATAGGAAGCTTGCTGCAGGTAGTTTAAATTCCAGAAAACCATTTCGCTCTCTCCCACCTGCCATTCTGCCCCCAGGCTGAACCTTTTATAATTCAAACCACTAGACTTGCAGAACACTTGAGTGAAACTAAAATGTGTGGGGCTTTGGCTGCCAACTACTGCTATGGCCTCAGGAGTCTGATTATCAGATTCCTGTAAGTTTTCTGTCCTTTCCTGACCTCTGTATTATCTGCCTCTCTAGATTGTGAGGGTCAGATGAGTTGAGGGCCCTTTGATAAGCATAAAGCACAATCTAAATGTCAGCTAATGTTTTATAGCAGAGGCAAAGTGCAGATTATTGGGGCTCTCCACCTAGGGGCTCCCTTCAAATCTGATTTGTTGTTCAGTCTGTTGTTGAGCCTTCCTGACTCCAGGCCTGGTACTCTATCCATTGTGCCACCTATCTCCCTATAGGGGAGATGGTGTGTAAGTATCTAAGCATATACAAAAGGTTGTTGTTTGGTCCTTTTTAGTTGCATCTGAACTTCATGACTTCATTTAGGGTTTTCTTGGCAAAAATACTGGAGTGGTTTGCCATTTCCTTCTCCAGCTCATTTTACCGTTAAGGAAACTGAGGCACACAGATTTAAGTAACCTGACCAGGGTCACACAGCTAGTAAGTGTCTGAAGCCAGGTTTGAACTCAGGAAGATGAATTTTCCTGACTCCAGGTCTCGTATTCTATCCACTGGGTCACCTAGCTGCCTTAATAAGGTCTACATTGTGCAAACTATTATGTACAAACAAGATAAATATACAGGCCAGTTGAAATAGGGGTAGTACTAAGATTAAAGAGGACAGGGAAAGGCTTCTTGCAGAAGGTGGGACTTTAGCTGAGACCTGAAGGAAGCCTGGGAGCCTAAGAGATGAGAAGAGATATTCTAGGAAATATCAGAGGGAGAGCATTCTAGGCATGGGGTCTAACCAGGTAAAAGGTTCCTAGTTTTTTCAGCACCCTAGGATATAGACCAGAACTCATCTAGGCCCACTTACCTCCTTTCTGTCTGTATCCTGTGGTAGCTTATTTGGGCTGTAGCTATAGCAGGGACCCTGAAAATCCTCTCAACTGGTTTCAACTCCCTATAAGCCTTTTTTTTTTTTTTTTTTGCAGTTGTATCATTTCTCGTTGAAGGACCATTCATTCTGCATGGCCTAAAAAAACTTAACATAAGTTGAGTAGCTCTGCTTTCCTTCCTCATTCATTATTCATCCTCCTTCCCCCTCCGCCCCCCCCCATTCTAAGTGCTGGTCTTGTCGCTTTTTTGTACCTCTTTACCAAAAACAAAAAAAACCCACCATTTCCTCACCAGCTTTTGTGTTCTGTCTGACACTATTCTGATCTGCCCCAGCTTTCACGTTTTTAATGTGTCTTTTAAAACTCTTTAATTTGGTCATTGAGTTTCTTGTGTGTCCACCTCCCTTGCTGAACTGTCCTAGATTTTCTGGTGGCCTAGACAGCCTTTAATTTAACATCTACCTAATTTGAACACAACTTTTTTTTTTTTGAAAGGATTTTTTATTTAGTATTTTATTTTCCCCCAATTCCATGTAAAAACCGTTTTTGACATTGATTTTTAAAAATTTTGAGTTCCAAATTCTCTCCCTTCCTCTAATGTGCCCTGTTCTTCCCATGTACCTCTACTCTTTAATGGAGTGCTGAGGTTAATCCTTACCCAGCCATTCTTGCTTGTTTGCTCTTTGTCTAATTCACATTTTTTCCCTCTTCCTAATATCCGCCCTGGATCCCACCTTACTGAAGGTTCTGGTGACCATTATTCACATCGTGTGAGAATTATGTTTGGTTGTCATGCTGATTTTATTTTATCTATGTCTGGGGAATATCAACTGAAAATTTAAGTTGAAGACAGCTAGGTGGTACAGTGGTTAAAGTTCTGGGTCTGGATTCAAATCCAGTCTAACACACTTATTAGCTGTGTGACTCTGGGCAATTCACCTGTATTTGCCTCAGTTTCCTCATCTGTAAAATGGGGATAATAATAGCACCTACCTCCCAAGGTTGTTGTGAGGATCAAATGAGATAGGTTTTAAAGCACTTAGCACATAGTAAACACTATAGAAATATTAGCTATCATTAAGTTAGATTATGGATAATTTTTTCCAGACACCTCAAAATACAGATCAATCTTTTCTCATTCACCTGCTGCTTCTCTTATAAAAACACTAATGAGTGGACTTTGTAGATCTGTAATAGAAAAAAAAATTAACATTTTCATTTGCTTTAGGATTTGAGATGATGTATTAAAAGGAGCTGTGCAGACAGGAAAGGGAATACAACTGACCCGGCTCATGGTGGTTGGGTAAATGAACAGGGCCAAAAGGTCTATGGGAAAGTAAAATGGAAAGATTACTTTGAGTTTCCTTCCCACATGAGTATTGTCAGGTGGAAGATGCTTCTAGTTTTTCATGAAATGTTTTTTTTCTTTGAGTTGATTTCTCATCTAACAACCTGGATTTTCTCTTCACCTTATCTCAACATTCAGCTGTTAGCCTCAGTAACTTAAGAAACAATTGATGACATTTTAGAACAAGAATTTTTGGTGGTGATGAAGATATTTTAGAAAAGCCTCTTCAAAGCTCTGCCTTTTTCCAAGTAGCAAGATAATGGACATGATTCTACCAATTAGATGCAAGTGTAGTGCTTGATTGCTTTGAGGTGAACTAACTCTCATATCATTAAGGTAGATGAGCTTAAATATGCCCTCCATAGTTGAGCAGGATTACTTCCCTCTGATCTGTAGGGCTGGATGCCATTGTATTATGTGGTATAATTCTTATTTTTGCAGGAAGACAAAGTGAGGGAGAAGACAAACGCATTCCATTACTGAAGGAAGTTTTCGAGGCCTTTCCTCACACTCCAGTGAACATTGATATCAAAGTCAATAACAATGTGCTGATTAAGAAGGTATCTTTTTTATTATGAACTTTATTACTTCCTCTGGCTATGTTGCATCAGACTTTACAACCCAAATGGAACTAGGGTAAGTGATCCATATCATGGTTCAGAAATCATTGTTGTTTTAAAGTCCTTTTATGGGAGAGCTTATCTTTAGAATGAACTTTAAAGCTAAAGGCCTAGCCATTTGCTATTTAAGTAATTGACTTAGGCCATTTTGAATGAGTTTCTGCATTTGATATCTATTTAGGCAGGAATTTATGTTTAGTCTTTAATTAATTAGAAAAAATGAGAAATGTAAATAATTTTTAGTTTGTGAGAGAATCTCAAGTTACATGGTTTGGTGTTTCAGATAGTTTAATTTTAGATCACTCACTTTCTCTAAAATAGAGTTGGGTGGGGATGAAATCTTTTTTTAAAATGAAAACAATGTGAGTAGAATTGGACAAGTATGTGAGGTGTTTTGATTTTTCAAATGCAGGTTTCAGAGTTGGTGACTCAGTACAAACGAGAACACTTGACAGTGTGGGGCAATGCCAAATATGAAATTGTAGAAAAATGTCACAAAGAGGTAAGCTCCCTCCAAAAACCAGAATTATTCACTTCTTTTGGTGTTGTGCCTAGGAAAGATTATAGTGGTTATTTTTTTTCTAGTAGTTCCACAGCAGTTAGGAAAAAAGCATAGCATTGGGTGGGAGCAATGGGTCAGCAGAGATGGTAGAAACATTTTGCTTAATGGGGGAGGCCTCAGGTTTGGGCCATTCATCTTTAAGTTCTCAGAATTCGTAACATCACAAAAGAGTATTTAGCAATAGCATTCTTCTGTTCAAAACCAAGGGAGACCACAGACCCTGCTTTTTAAAGAACCATTTGTTTGTTCACATGCGTCCATTAGATGTTTGTTTTAATTAGAAATTTCCTGTTTGTTTGGAACTGAAAGGGAATCCTGATTTAAGCTTTGTAGCCTAAGGATCGCTTCCTTCTCCTCCTACCCCCTGTCCAAGGCACTCTACCAACTGAACAGTTTCTGGTCAGAAAAAAAAGTGTGTTATGTGTTTGAGTCTACAAAATAGGATACAACCCAGAGGGCCGTCCACATCCCTATCAGAAGCAGAAGTACTAAAATATGAAGGATTAAAAATTTGGCAAGGCCTCTTTATATAGAAAAGCTATATGAAAATCCGGAAGTCTTAGAATTCTGTTTAAGCCTTTACTGAGTTGAGTGTGATACACATACAATGTGGGACAAACAGGGCATGATGAGTTGGATGGGTGGGGGGGTGTCACCTGCAGTGGGGAGAGAGAGAGAGAGAGAGAGAGAGAATGAGAGAAGGCAGACCTAGCCCCAGCTGGTCAGTCCCAGCTCTGTTACTTAGAGCTAGAAGCCTCTGGTTTGGGGAAATTCTTACTAAAAAGCCCAGATCTGTAATCGATTATTTTCAAACATCACAATTCTTAGTAACAATTATAAGCAAGAGTACCTCCCCCCCCTAACATTTTCAGAGACAGTGTCTCTGGTTATTTTGCCTAATACATCCAACTGACTAATTACCCTGTGCTTTTTTATTTCCGGTCTCTTGACAACATTGTAAAATTAAGTTGTCAACATGCTTTGTAACTCAGTCATACGTTTTATTCTAATTCACTCAGTAACTTTTATTGAAAATCAACAGTGTATATACCATGACTTTCTAAGCTTGCCAGTCATTACTACTTAATTGTTCATTTTCATGGTAATTATACAATATTCAATTATACAGTATTGTGGTTTAAGCTTTTGTTGGGATGACCTAGAGAACTTTAACTTTTATATGAGTGCTTAATAATGTTTACTAAGTTGAACCTCAGCCTTGGCACCTGCAGGCCACCCTGCATGAAGTAAGAAAGGCATGTGGTGGGCTTGGGGAGTGCTTCATGCATAGGTATCTCTAGGCCGTGTCTGCCGGAAGGGGACCCAGTGCCTTGGGTAACCTCAGTATCCCAAGGGCCAGCCATTCATATGTATGAATGTTTTTAAGACTCTTGTTTATAACTGGAGAATACTTGTATTAAGCTTTAATATGTATCCTACTGAAATTTTAAGGATTACCTGCTAGGCCTGTCTTGTTAAGTAGTTGTGAAATAATGCATAATATTATACGTGTGTGTTTTGTAGAATTCAGATATCCCCATTCTCTTCAGTCTACAACGTGTTCTGCTCATTCTTGGCCTGTTCTACACTGGCCTCTTGCCCTTTGTGCCCATCTGTGAGCAGTTTTTTGAAATTCCAATGCCTTCTATAATATTGAAGTAAGTGGCCACCCTGTTTTTGTTTTTGTGATTTATCATTATAGTGACAGGAGAGTTGCAGGTAAAATCCCATAAAAATCGATACAGGAAAAGAAATCTTTGTATACAAACCCGTTTCCACTTTCTACTGTGACTCAGGTTGATACTTTGTTACTCTACTTCACTAGTCACAGTAAATTCTTAATGACTACAATAAATGCGTAGTGTGGTTCCAAGTTAACAATCATTTTTTTGTGTGTATTTATGCTGCATACTTTGTAAGTAGGACGAGAAAGAAAGGAGAAGAGGTGCCTTGAATTGAAGCAAAACTACCTGATCCTTGGAGTCAGAAGCCTTGGGTTTGAGTTCTGGCTTTGATACTCATGGTGTGACCCTGGTCAAGTCACTTCATTTGTCTGTGACTTGATTTCATCATCTGTAAAATGTGGATAATAATACTTGTATTGCCTGCCCACCTCATGAGTTTTCTGTGAGCAAAGCCTTAAAGCTTAAAATGAGTTATTATTATTATACTAATGTTTACAAAAAGTTGATTGTGGGGGGGCAGAGATGGATGTGTTAAAATATAAATATATGGGGTCTTACTTGCCATCAAGCAGCATTGGCCCCTTCAATGTTACTCATCCTTTTTCACTTCAAACATCCCAACAGCCTCACCTGAAAAGTTTATCAGACTCTCAAATCACCCACCAAAACAACTACCAAAAAGATCTGGAGCTTGGAGAAAGAAAAGGGTAGGGAAGGTGTGTATGTGATACCTCCCCAAGTCCCCTGCTGAATACAAAGCCTTGCTTTTTGAAGAAACAGATCAGCTCTATTTCAAGGTCCTGCAGACTAGGAATGTGATACCTGGCAATGTATTCATTGTAACAATTCACTCACAACAAAAGAATTTGGAGCGATTACAGAATTCATTATGTTGGGATTTTACCTGTATTAAATATTGCATCAACCCCAAAGCAGAAACACAAAAATAACAAATAACTATGTGTGCAGTATTCATTTAAAAAGATTAGTGGATGCTGTTGTATTTACTTTCTCTGGTTTCAGTTTTACAATTTGGTTTTTGTTTATTTGACTTATATTCATTAGCATGTTTCCTCTTGGTAGCCATTTCTAAAAAACAAAAAAAAAAACAAAAAACAAAAAACTCTCCTCACAAAAGTATGCTCCCTCCTTCATGGTGTTATTTTTTAAGTTGGCACTTAGGCCACAAATTCCCTCTAACCTTCTGCTCCCATGACTGGCTGCTTTCCTTTAGCACAGAATAGAATCTTAATTCTTTTAAATGAGTATTTCTGAGTGTTTCCTTTAGAAGCAGATGCTAGTGAGACCTGGAATTTTATGTATGTGCAGATAGATTCCTCTTTCCAGGAAGTGATTGGGTGTTCGAGGGGAGAAACAGTAAATATGTTGATGTGTAAATTTGAAGCCTTAATTATTTTTTAGTTGTTTCAGTGAACAGTTACAGGGATTTCCTAGGGCAAGACTCTAATTGTATTTAATATGCTGGTTTGAGTTTGAGCCATAGAATCTCTTAAAGGGGAATAGGGTGATTCATTCCTTCAAAAAGAAGGAGAGCTCCAGCTTGGGCCAGGTGGATTAAATTGGGTAAGAAACGATGGAGGTTCTGAGGGAGAGAGACAATATTGTAAATAACTGAGAGTATTTTAGAAAAACTGGATTCATAGAGAAACAAAATATAAGATGAGTTGATCCAGAAAGGAGGATCTAGGATCAGGGATGGGAAACCGGTGGCCTCAAGGACACATGTGGCCCTCTAGGTCCTTGGATGTGGCCTTTTGACTGAGTCCAGGTTTTACAGAACAAATCTTTTTATTGAGGGGATTTGTTCTGTGAAGTTTGGATTCAGTCAAAGGGCCGTACCCAAGAACCTAGAGGGCCACATGTGGCTTCTAGTCCCCAGGTTCCCCCATCCCCAGTTTTAGGTGGGTAGCCTACTAGAAAACTCTAAAGTGCAAGGACAACATATAGAAAACAGGAAGAGTGGAATTAGGGGGAGGGACAGGGAATGGAATCCATGATGTGCTGATAGAGATGGTTGGCATAGTTCAGGTAACTTTAGTTTGCAAGATGACATATTTCTTTTTAGTCAGGAGAAGGGCATTTGGGGAATGGAAGAGAAAGCTTATTTTAGGCTTAAAGGTGGAAATAATGAGATAGAGTAATAATAATAGGAACCCCAAAAGAGTCTCATACCAAAAAAGAAAGTAACAGAAAAGTACCAGTATTAATTATACCAAGTTAGTAGCACAAACTTCCCTCTTGTTGGAGTAAAGCATCTAAATTGTGCTAGATTACAATAGATCATTTAAGAGAAAAAAGTACTAATGAAAAAAGAAAGTGAGGAAAGGACAGGAAGAGAGTCTGAATAATAAATCTTCCCCCTCCCTTACCTCTGCTCCCAGGAGGCAGTCTCTAAAGTTATAGTTAATGCTGGTTTCAGGTTAACTTTCTGTTGCCAGGGCCCAAGAGTAAAGGGGTGCGGAGGCTGTTTAATACATTGGTACATTGCTGTGTTGTTAATTTATAGTTTCAATTTTATTTTTTCTCAGACTGAAGGAACCTCACGGCATATCAAAAAGTCAAAAATTTCTCATTTGGTTGGCTGACAGGTACATTTTTTAATTTATTTTTTTAAAATATGGCTTACTCAGAAAATTTTGTATTAAATACCCTTCTTGTATCCATTGCATTTGGAAATGAAGGTGATTTTAAACTAAAAGATTAATAGAAACATTTTAAGTATTGTATATCTGCAGTGTATGTCAATGGATGTAAGTTAATCACTTTAAGACTTCTATACTAAGTGAGTCAAAGAACTATATAATAGATTTTTTTGTAAATAATATTTCATTTTTTTCCAATTACATGTAAAGATAGTTTTCAACATCCATTTTTAGAAGATTTTGAGTTTCAATTTTTTTCTTCCTCCCTCCTCCCCAAGACAACAAGCAATCTGATATAAGTTATACATGTGCGATCATGTAAATATGTTTCCACATTAGTCATGTTGTAAAAGAAGAAACAGGACAAAAGGGAAAAAAAAAACAGAAAAAAAGACAAAAAGTGAAAATTATACTTTGATCTGCATTCAGACTCCATAGCTCTTTCTCTGGATGTGCAATATCATAGAATTTTTAGAGCTATAAGGGTCCTTAGAAATCATATAGTCTAATGCCTTCTTTCTTTCTTCCTTCCTTCAATAAAGGTTAAATGACAGGGTCACACAAGCTAGTGACTGTCTGAGGCTGAATTTGAGCTCAGATCCTCCCAACTCTGGGTTGTTCTATGTAGCCACCTAGCTACCCCTAGTCTAATGCCTTCATTTTAAAAAGGGGAAAACTAAAGCTCAGTTTGTGACTTGCCTAAGTCATACAGCTAGATATCGGCAAAGCCAGAACTAGAGCTCAGGTCTAATAACTAATAGTAAATAGTTTTTTTCCCTGCTATTCCGTGACAGTCAGAAGCTGTTAAGGTACGTTAAGAAATAAGTATATTTATCACATGTAGAAAAACACATTGTTTAATTACTAAGTTTCTAAATGTTTGTCTGGGAAAATATACATCAAGATTCTATAGAGGGGGCTGGGAAAAAATCCTACAAATGGAAAGGAAGCCCTCCTTTGGGTAATTGTCTGCTTCAGAGAAATCCTTCTTTTCTTTTTTAAAAAAATTAATATATTTTATTTCCCCCCCAAATACATGTTAAAACAATTTTTTTAACATTTTTTTTTAAGTTTTGAGTTCCAAATTTTATCCTTCCTTTCCCCTTCTCTGGCATGGTAAGCAATCAAATATAGGTTATACGTATGCAATCATGTAAAACATTTCCATGTTAGTCATTTTGTATAAGAAGACTCAAATAAAAGAAAAAGAATAAAAGGAAGAAAGAAAGTGAAAAAAAGCATGCTTTAGTCTGTTTTCAGACAGTATCTTCTTTCTCTGGAGGTGGATAGTATGCTTCATTATTAGTCCTTTGGGATCGTCTTAGGTCATTGTATTGCTAAGAATAGCCGAGATATTCACATTTCTTCATAGAACAATATTGTTGTAACTATGTATAACATTTTCCTGGTTTTGTTCATTTCACTTTGCATCAGTTCATGTAAGTCTTTCCAGGTTTTTCTGAAATCATCCTACTTGTCATTTCTTATATCACAATAATATTCCATTACAGTCATATACCACACAACTTGTTTATCCATTCCCCAATTGATGGGCATCCCTTCAATTTTCAATTCTTAGCCACTATAAAAAGAGCTGCTATAAATATTTTTGTACAAATAAGTCTTTATCCTTTCTTTTGATGTCTTTGGGATATAGACCTAGCAGTGGTATTGCTGGATCAAAGGGTATGCACAGTTTTATGGCATTACTCCCCAGAATGGTTGGATCAATTCGCAACTCCACCAGCAGTGCATTAGTGTTCCAGTTTTTCCACATCCCCTCCAACATCCATCATTTTCCTTTTTTGTCATATTAGTCAATCTGATAGGTGTGAGGTGGTTCCTCAGAGTTGTTTTAATTTGCCGAAAAATCCTTCTTTTAAAAATTTTTTTATTTATTTTGATTTATCAACAATCACTTCCATAAGTTTTTGAGTTTTACGTTTTTCTCCCCCTCTCTCCCTTCCGCCTTCCCTCCCTAAGAAGGCCTGCAATCTGATATAGGCTATACATATTCATTCCTATTAAACATCTATTTTTACATTTGTCATGTTGTAAGGAAGAATTAGAACCAATATAAGGAACCACAAGAAAGAGGAAACAAAACAAAACAGAAGGAAAAAAAAGAGCAAATAGTATGCCTCAATCTGCATTCAAACTCCATAGTTCTTTCTTTGGATGTGGAAAATTCTTCCTTTCTAGGATAACTTGACTCCACTTTAGATAAAGACTGTAAAGCAATTATACTTTGTTTTGTCTAAAACTGATCCCTGGTTCTTGAAGTAGATGAATAGTCTTATATCCCAACTGTTGTTTGCTTAATGTTCCTTTCACAGGGCCTTGGGAAGTTCTCTAATCTGCCCTCCTCTCTGTGCCTCAGGATCCAATTTTAATTTGAAATATTTAATTTAATATTGGTCTGTCACGTTCAGTTTATACACCAGCTCTTTCACCACCTTTCTTGCTAGCTTCTTCTAGTTTATCATTGTGGTAGACAAGGAAAGTATAAATGACAAATGTTATACCCATTTAAACTGATAATTTATGATGCATCTCACTTCCTCTGATTGATGTGCTTGGCCTTGAAATCCAGGTGCATACTTTCTTATGAAGGAAGTCTCTAATTTTAAAGATACACATGTTGTGTTCCAAAAGTTCATTTGTAAGTCAGGGGTGTTTAGAACTGAGAACACGTTTTCCCATTGAAACATCAGTGGGGGTGTGGATTCTCAAGGTAGAGCACAGAAGCCCATTTAACTCATAGTGTAGGGGAGTTAGAATACAAATTGTGGCATACGCCCCAACGGCATAACTTTGTTTTTCTTTGAAAACTTGAGAGGCCAGTAGTACATCTCTTTCTACTCTAGTTCAAACAGTGAGAAGAGGGATTAGTTTTCTCTTGCTGTATCTAGCCAGAGTAGGAGAAGCTGGATTGGAGAGGCTCCAGGGGTTTCCCAGGATTTGACATAAAGTATAGTGGAGTCTTGGCATATGTGACAAGGAGCCTTAAGCTGGGGCAGCTTTCTGGACAGAGGTGGTCAGGACTTCGATTCCATCAGGACTGAGTGGACTTCTTCCTCACCTTCACCTCCTAGACTCCCTAGCTCCCTTTAAGCTCAGCTGCTCCAGTCCTTCCCCACCCCAATGTGACTTTCTTTAAAAAAAATTTGCTTTTGAGGACATAGGCTATTTCCTCAGATAATATATGAGTGCCCTGAAGGCAGGGGCTTTCTTGTTTTTATTGTATCCCCAGTACTCTAGTAATGTCCATAGTATCCATAGTAGTATCCCCAGTATCCATAGTAGTTGCTTAATGAATTTGATTCACTGAGTGACCTTATGCTGTTGGCTAGGCACAAGGGAAATGCTGGGTTGATGATGATGTCCTAAATGCTATTCTGTTTTTTCTTTATAGGTTACTAATGAGGAAAGCCTTATTTGACCACCTCACTGCCCGAGGCATTCAGGTATATTTCTGGAAAACATACAAAGGCTGTTTTCTAATCATGTTCTTACAAGCAGGATAGCTATTTTTTTTTCATTTAAACTTTTTTTTAGGATAGCTAATTTTAGCATAGGGAAAAGAACTTTTAGTGAGGGACAAGAACTTTGAACTGATTTTGGAATCCACATCAATTAATTATTTATTAAAATGCCTGCTAAGGCAAATGCTGATGCTAAGAATACAAAGATGCAAAACAAAATAATGCCTCCCTGCAAGGAGTTTATAATCCAAAATGCACACAAATAAACAACTATAATACAAGGTAATAATCATAGCTAACATTTATGTAGCACCTACTATGTGCCAGGCACTGTGCTATGCACTTTACAATTATTATCTCATTTGATTTCTCACAACAACACTGAGAGGTAAATGTTCTTGTTATCCCCATTTTACAGATGAGGAAACTGAGGCAAAGGGGAGGAGTGATTTGCCCAGGCTGACATAGCTAGTAAGAGTCTTAAGGCCAGATTTGAAAGAATATAATTACATGCAGTGGAAGGTTACAGGGAAGGCTTCATGGAGGAGGTGACACAGGAGCTGAGCCTTGAAGAAAGAGGATTTCAGCATGTGGCGACACAGGCTGGGTGAACCTGGGCAGGTCATCTATCTTCTTAGTGACCCAGACACTCACTTAAGACTGTAAGTTTTAGAACAGTTGTGTTCCAGGCACAGTCTGGGAAGACAAATTCAAGAAGAAAAACAGGCAAGTCCCAGGGCTCAAGATGCTTACATACTATCTAATGAGGAAAGACAATGTATAAAAGAAAACTGGAGGCAGGGTTGGGGTGGGACTGGGAAGCAAACGCACCTGTTGCAGAACCATGGAAGAGAAGATTTAAAGTACAGCCTAGAAGGAATGAGAAGGACCCTCCTTAAATGAAGTCTGTGGGAGGAACCAAAAAAAGAAAGAGAAGAGGAGGAGGAGGAAGAGAGGGAGGGAGGAGGAAGAGAGAGAGAAGAGGAGGGAGAGAAGAGGAGGAAGAGGAGGAAGGGGGGGTCATAGAAGCCAAGGGAGGAGAGAACATGTAGGAACACAGTGATCAGCAGTGTCAGAGATATCAAGGAAGATGAAATGGAAAAGAGGCCATTATATTTGGCAAGTAAGAGGTTAATTGGTGACATTGAAGAGACTGGTCTGATGTATAGTGGAGACAGAAAGGGGATGGGGTGGTAGAAGCCAGAGTATAGAAAGTTAAGGAGTCAGGAGGTGTTATTCAGTTGTCTTCAGTCCTGTCCTAGTCTCTGTGACCCCATTTGGGGTTTTCATTTGCCATTCCTTCTCCAGCTCATTTTACAGATGAGGAAAGTAAGGCAAGTGACTTGCCCAGGGTTCACACAGTTCTTAAGTGTCTGAGACCAGATTTGAACTCAGAAAGACAAATCTGCCTGACATCAGGCCTAGCACTCTGTGTACTATGGCGCCACCTAGCTGCCTAGCGAAGGGGTAGAAACAGACTTTTTTTTAGAAGTCTGGCAGTGAAAAGAGATAGTACAGAAAAACAGGGTTAAGGTTTTTGTTTTTTCCTCACTCCCCTGCCTTTGATGCTGCTGGCTCACTGAATGGTTGACAGAAGGGGGCTGTAGGTGTTCTACCTTCTTTTTAGTAAGGATTCAGTGGAAATTTATTTTGAAATGTGAGGGAGTTGGGAACAGAGGATGTATTGTCCGAAGTTAGATTTTCATGTACGTAAAGGTGGGAGTGATCAAGAGGAAGAAGTCCCAACCGTGATACCCCGCCCCCCCCCCCCCCCCGTAAGTGGGATCAAGGTTGAATTTTTCTGAATGGTTAATGAATTTTTTTAAACTTCATACAAGGTTCCTGACCAAATGCATTGGGATTGCAGTGGTGAAGTGCTGTTGTGTTTAAGGCAAAGTGTGCTTTGTTTTCACATTTTTGCTTATTCTTCTACCTTTAGGTATATGTTTGGGTCCTAAATGAAGAGCACGAATACAAAAGAGCTTTTGATTTGGGAGCAACTGGGGTGATGACAGACTACCCAACAAAGCTTAAGGAATTTTTACGTAATTATGCATAAGTCAGCCTAAAAAAGGCATTCGAAGAAGATGAAGGAATATTCTTTTTTCAGCATCACATAAATAAGCCATTTCCAGAATGGTAAAAGATGTAATCAATTGAGTTTCATTACCTCATTTTTAAGCCTAGTTCACAATGTAGAAACTACAATGGATATTTATTTTAAAGTATATTCCAGATTTTACATTTGTCCATGATTTGTTTAGAAAGCTAACATTGATTGGGATAGGGCAGGAAGAAGATGAATAGCGGATCAAGATTTCTGCCTTCTATCTATTGCAAGCAATTTGCAAATCAAAGACTAACACTAACAGACTAGGTAAAATCCAGGACTTGGAAGGATCTTGACATTCACTGGGCTGAGATCAGTTAATCAGTAAAACTAAATTATTGAAAAACTGCAGCCATTCTTAAATTGGCTTTTTGTTTCTGGACATGTTGCTAGTCTGCACAATGGAAAAGAAACAAGTAGAAGAAGCAGTTAAAAAAAAAAAAGAAACCAATGATGTAGTTATCTGACAAGACACACACTGGGATCAGTAGTGAGTCTCCTAGAAATAATTGAAAATATCACCACTTGACCAGAAACAAAATCTGTAGACTGAATTAATTTTTCTTTGGATATTGTTATATACTTTCATTAATAAGAATGTAAGACTAATATTTGAAGTCATTTGGGGTGTGTATGTGTATATGTGTGTGTGTGTGTGTGTGTGTGTTTACATATGTATGTATGTATGTGCGTATGTACCATCAACTCTATGGCTAACTTTGTTTTCATTGTAAACATTGCAAAGTAGACGTTTGTAGGTTGTTGTTGAGACTAGAGCCTCCCCAGAGATGGAAGATTACAATTTGTGACAAGGCCTAATTGTATTTTGCGGGCCTATTTCTGGATGTACAAAACCACTGACTCTTCAGCCTCTTCATTATGTTAAAGAAGGTGACATCATTGTTTCCATACTTTTGGATAACCCCACCCCATCTGTATCCACTATTTTGCTAACCAAGTAGTCCCCTTTTGAGTGTTAGCTGGAAATAAGATTTCCCAACATTCTAAGACTCTCTCAACCTTTCTTCTATAACTCCATGTAAATCTATTTCTATTCTTTTTTGGGTATTTGTCATCGGTGGAGCCTCTGACCTCTGGTCAGCAGTAGACCATGATCTCTGGTAGGGCAGATGAGATCTCAGACACTTGTCGTTTGTAAATCATTTTCTCATGAGGGTAAAAATATCATTTTTTTTTTTAACAGAAATAAAGTTTTCCAAGGACATGCAGAAGTCTCTTGGTGTGTGTTTGTTATTAATTGTCATAGTACCAAACAGGCTCTGAAATTTTTGACTAAACTTAACAGTTTGTGAATTAATTGATAAAAGGAGTCCATGCACCTGAAATTTGTTTCTCGAATGAGGAAAGGGAAGGAGGAAGTAGCTAATTAACATGCTTAGTAACTGTTTAGTTAATGGGAAGACTGGAGGTGTAGTAGGGAAAAATAGGACCTCAAGGGCACCTGATTCTGTGTACAGTAATATCTCATTGATTCTGCTCTAGTAAGTAATGAGGTGCCCCACATAACAATGTGGTATGGAGGAACAGGTGCCTGACCTGGAGTCCATAGGGACCTGGGCTCCAATCTTCTGACCCTTATCATATTATATTATATTATATTTATTATATTATATTAATTACTTCTCTGCCTGTTTTCTTCATCTATGAAATTGAGATCCAAATATCTGCAGTACTTGCCTCATAGGGTCACTGGTGAGGTTCAAATAAAATGAAGTACGTATTTATTGTTCTTTGCAAGTCTATACCAAATGTCAGTCGCTATCATAGTGAAGTAGACTGGTTGCAGTTGTGACCACTTCAGATGCCAAAACTGTGTTTATTATAAGCGTTGCTGACAGGAAGTTTTCTGAAATGAATTATACATTTCAATGCCTTTTTAAAGAGAAGACACTGAATATAATTTGATTTTTCCTTGGTGCTGCAAGGTCATCATTTTGACTATCTAGGCTTCGGACTCAGTGGTAATGTAATTTTGCACACACATTTAAAGTGTTTTGGCCACCTCTCTCATGAGGCCATCAGCTGTCACTTCTGCAGTCTGACACCCATCCCTAAGAATTCTGTGGAACCTCTGGTTCGCTGTCTCTGATCTCCTTGAGGACCAAAAAAGCCAGATAGCTGAGTTTATTCAGAATTAGTGTTAAATCACTAAAGCATGCATGTTAAGTAAATTGTGTGAGATAGTGAATAGAAAGTTGCATCAGGAGAGGGACTTTTCTCATTGGAGCCTTCTAGATTGATGAGAGGCAGTGTTGCACAGTGAGAAGACCAAGGATTTGTAGCTAGAGGACATTCAAAACATGTGCTCCTTACTACCAGCATGAACTTGGTCTCAGTTTTCTCATCTCTAAAATGAGGAGGTTGGACTCGAATCTGATCTTCCCAAACCTATGAAATCACAGGTCTGGAAGCAACCTCCTCTTCTCCCCGCTCACAATCAGAAAGTCTAAAGTTATCTGGCTTTAGTGTAGAGGCTTGGGACAGCTATTTGAATTATTCAGAGCCTTTTTCATTTAAATTTGGAATGGTGTCCTGGAGGACGACTTGAATTTGCCAAAGGTCTAATTTGAATAAATAGGTTGCTATAGCTAGCACTTTATGATTTGTGGACATTTGGTTTTCAAGGCTGACAGCAGCCCTTGAGGTGTAGATTTTTAAAATAGTATTATCCCCATTTTGTTGATGAGGAAACTGAGGCTCAAACACATTATGTGTCTTGCCTATAGTCATTCATCTGTCCAGTAAATAAATGGTAGAGCTGGGATTGAGCCCAAGGCTCAGGATTCCAAATTCAAGTGCTTTTTTTATTAGCTACTGGTATTATAATTTGGAGCAGCTAGGTGGCACAGTGGGTAGAGTGCTGGACCTGGAGTCAGATACTTACTGGCTGTGTGACCATGGGCAAGTCACTTAACCTTCTTTGCCTCAGTAACTCATCTGTAAAATGAGCCGGAGAAGGAAATGGTAAATTACTCCGGTAACTACTGTGGTAAACAGTGTGAATAATGTGATAAAGAAGGTTCCTTAAACTTTTTACTTTGTTTATATTTTGAGCAATGGAGGAATTATCAAGATAAATTGAAAGCTTCTTGAGGGCAGGGATCCAAGTCTTATACTTTTCTTTTATCCCCACTGCCTAGTATAATGCCACAAAGATGTGTATATGTATATATATAAAATGTCTGTATGTGTGTATGTGTATGGTAGGTACTCAAACTGGTCCTGTGTGATGTTTTTTTAGATGTAGATATATAGATACAGATAAGAGATTTTTGTGTGTGTGTGTGTGTGTGTGTATATATATATATATATATATGTAATAGGTAATCAAACTCATGGTAGCAATCCTCATTAAGTATTTTGTTTCACATTGGTCACATTTATTCATTGACTTCTTGTTTTGGGATTAAATTAGGTCTTGCAAAGTGAACTTAACTGAGTGTGGCCTAGCAAATACTTCATTCTTCCAGTACTTATTAAGCACTGTGGCTTTTCTTAGAAATAGGTTTAGATTTGCAAGGCACACATATTCCTTAGAGGGAGGTAATTTCCTTCTTGCAGGTGTGTGTACTCCTAATTCAGGTGACCAGTATCAGTTTGGATAATGCTCCTCTGGATTGTGAACTGTGTTGACCAAATAATTAAGCCCTTCCCAGACACAGGAAAGTTGTAGCTCATTCATTTGGAAATGCTTTTACAATTTTAAATAGTCCCACAAAACCTATAGGGTAAATGTTGATTAATCACAATTGACCTATTAACATGAAAAGAAAATATCAATTAAAACAAAATTTAAAAGAAGTATCACACTAAGGCATAGAGTGGTACCTTTGCTTTCATCTCTGCTTAATATTTTAAAAATAGCTCTAACTTAACAAATTGAGCTGCGAACTCATTCTGAGACATTTGTTAGGGTCAGAATCTTTCCCTGCTGTGCTCTTATGCTCTGTGCTCCTGGAGATGAGAAAAGCTCATGAGCAGCTTTCTTCCAGCCTTTGTCTTTTTAGAGTAAGATGTTATCTTTACTTCCTAATGAGCTCTAGAACTAACTTCCCTGGTAATTAGCTGTTCTTTTCTTTGCCACTAACTCCCTCTATCCTTCCTTCTTTTTCCTGCGTTGTTCTTTCATACACTCTTACAGAAAGATGAGATGAGAGACAGTTTAAAGCTGCTTTAAAGAAAGCATGGGGTCAAGATTAGAGCCCAGTGACTCAACTTTCCAATTAAGATGACTCTTGACAAGCCAAGCTAATTAACAATGAAGTGATAGATGTATGACTCAAGCTTGGTATAAAATGCTATTTGCAATAAGCTTTTCTCTAGCCCTTTTTTGGGGGGTTGGAGGGACAATTTCATCTCCACTGCTATATCCATTGACTTTATATACAGATGACTCATCCAAATTATCACTAGCCCAAACCCAAATCTCCTGTCTCTTGACTATCAGCTTCCCCCAAACTAAATTTCTTACCTTTCTCCAAAAATCCTATACTGTCAGTGGCAGTCTCCCATATTTGGAACCTCTGTATTATCACTTTCTCCCACGTTGAATTACTATCCAATCCACCTCTACAGTCTCTCACATCTTTCCCCACCTCTTTATTCCCACTGTTATCACTTTATTGCTACAGGTGGTCACTGACACCCAGCCAACATCTTACCTAACAGGTTTGTCTCCATTCTCTTCCCATTTTTTTTTTTTTTTGGTTAGGCAATGGGGTTAAGTGACTTGCCCAAGGTCACACAGCTAATAAGTGTTAAGTGTCTGAGACCTGATTTGAACTCAGGTCCTCCTGAATCCAGGGCCGGTGCTCTATCCACTGCGCCACCTAGCTGCCCCCTCTTCCCATTTCTTTTATACCTTCTGTCCTTTACCCTACTGCCAGGCTAATTTTGTTTTATTTTTATTTATTTATTTTGCCAAGGTAAGTGGGGTTAGGTGACTTGCCCAGAGTCACATAGCTAGTAAGTGTCTGAGGCCAGATTTGAACTCAGGTCCCCCTGACTCCAAGGCCAGTGCTCTATCCACTGCACCACCTAGCTGCCCCCAGGCTAATTTTATAAAGAGATTTGGTTCTGTTCTCAGACTCCTCCACTGTTTTCCTAGTGTAGACTAAGGAAAATTCAAACATCTTTGCCTGGGATTCAAGGCCCCTGCAAATTTGGTACCACAAACAGCCTTATCCTTGTCTGGTTCTCTACTGTCAAACCAAAGTACTCCTTTTCCATTGCACACATCCCCTTTTTCTTTCCTCCACGCTATTGTTTACCCTGTTTCATATTCCTGGAAACTTTCCCTAGTTCAACTCAAATACTATCTCTTCCATGAAGCCTTCCTTAATCTCCCAGTAATAACTTCTTCTACTGCTCTCAGACCTCATACACAACATTTTGTTTTTACTTTGGTACTCAACTAGGCATTATTTTGTATTGTAGTTATTTATGTCTGTTATGAAATCCTCAGGGGAAATTTGTAAGGATCATATACTTTCTTGAAGAGATGTTGCTCCACTTTCAGGCAGAATGTGTTTAAAATCCTATTTAACATTATCTAATTTTGGAACCCAAGAAGGACCAAAAAAGGGTTGTAAATTAGATAACGATGGTCAACCTCACATGCTATAGTTTATTCATAAGAACAAAATGTTTCACTCAAGCCTGCATCTTTTAAAATATGTTGATTGAGATTAAAGCTTGGGTTGAATGGATACATATATAGGATTTGGAGCAGGAAAGAATCTAAGGTCCCCTGGTCAGCTCCCTTACTTTGAAGATGAGAAGCCCCAAACCATACAGGTACTAAATAGAGGCTATGATTTGAACCCATGTCTTAGGACTCCAAATCTATTGCTCTTTCTTCTGTGTACTACATCATCAGGAATAAATGATTACTTAAGCTGACCCGCTGATCTCTGGAATAAAAGAAGAAAGTGTCCCATAGGGACTGATTTATCATGCATAAACTTCTAACCCAATTTTTGGTAAAGAGCTGGGATAAATTTAGATTTTCAAGGCAAATTCAGCTCTAGGCCAGCTCTTTCATTTAAAAAACAAAACTGTGGAGCATGTTCAATTGCTTACCTCCTACAGGCCCCAGTTTCCTAATTGGTAAAAATTGGACAAGAGGAGATCTCTAATGTCCCTGTTTTCTGATTCTAGGACACTACTGCTAACCTGTATCCCTTTAGGAGAGTGCTTGTCTAA